CAAACACCAACTCCGAGAAACCGAGTAGAATATTACCGGTGCCATAAGACATATTCAACGAGATTGTAAAGTAAGGATGTCCTCTCCATCTAGAGATCGTTTCCAACGCTTATCGGGATCTAGACACGCCAGCCCTAATGACAGATAGGGAAACGCCAACTAACCAGTATGGAGGGGCGAAGCTGGTTAGTAATGACGAAGCCTCCAGGGTTGGTTACATAAAATCATTGAGCATTAAAATTCGAAGGACAAATTAATGGAGAATTTAAAACCATCACTTTTGATACGGGTGCTGAAGTTTCTATAATTAGAAGAACATTAGTCAATCCAACTGCTCACTACGAAAAGTCACGGGCGAATCGGCACCAGTTCAAGAAGAAGCTAGGGTTGAGCTTACTTTTGGACATCCTTAAATTTTGTGATGAAGCATTTGTCCTAACTACACAAGAAGAATCCCAAGCCGTTCAGATCCTAGCCACAAACCCAGTGAGGATTCCTGGAAGTACTGAGAAGCTCATTTGCAGCAAATTGGAGAGAGATATATTATTGGAACTCTCGAATAAGTTGAGCAAATATCGAAGTGTGACCTACCTTCCAGATAAGCGACAGTTTGACTCGAAATTGGATACAGACGCCTTGATGCAGACTTCAACGAAATCATGGAAACATTTCCATCCAGATAGACTTCAGGAAGCCACAGATTTTATCTTGAAAGAAGCATACGTATTTGTGATGGATAATCAAACCAGACGGACTAGTTTAATTCAACACAAAATTGATACTCGATTGGCACACCCAATTAGACAACCACTTCGACGTATGCCAGTAGCTGAACAACAGCAAGTGGAAAACCAAATTGATAAAATGCTTCAAGAGGGAATTATTGAAGAGTCAAATAGTCCATGGTCTGCGCCAGTAGTATTGGTTACAAAGAAAGATGGAAGTCTTAGATTTTGTGTGGACTATCGTAAGCTCAACGACGTCACCAAGAAGGGCAGCTTCTCTGTTCCAAGGATAGACGATACATTAACAACTTTATCGAGCTTCAAATGGTTTTTTACCTTGGATCTTAAGAGTGGATACTGGCAAGTAAGTGGCAATACACAAAGATGACAGAGAGAAAACTGCCTTCAGTACCGAAAGCGGGTTATACCAGTTCAATGTAATGCCTTTCGCATTGTGTAATGCTTCCGCTACGTTTGAGCGACTGATGCATCTAGTTTTGCGAGGCCTCACATGGAGAACTTGCCTGGTATATTTAGATGATGTCATGATCATGAGAAATTCGTTCCAAGAACATCTTAATAACCTGAAAGAAATTTTCGACCGCTTTCGGAATGCCAACTTAAAACTCAATCCAAATAGGTGTTTTCTATTTCAAAAGAAAGTAGAATTCTTAGGTCACGTGATATCTGAAGATGGCATACAAGTTATGGAAAGAAAAATAGATGCTGTCAGGGATTGGCCAAAACCACGCGACAAACATGAACTGAGGATTATGTTCTTATTATCGAAGATTTGTAGAAGGATTCGCAAATATAGCTGCTCCGATTCATCGATTAACGGAAGAAAAATGAACATTCAATTGGACTCAAGAATGCGATTCCGCTTTTAGAAAATTAAAAGGAGCATTATGTACATGCCCAGTGTTGTCCTATCCTGAGCAGAAAGGCATCGACACAGATGCAAGCACCAGTATTGGAGCTGTCCTTTCACAAATCCAAAGATTCACAAGAGCATGTCGTAGAGTACTATAGCAGAACCTTATCAAAGCCGGAACATGTAGCTGGACCATTCCCTGAGTCAGAGCGTGGTAACAAATACATCTTGGTTATCATGGATTACTTCAGTAAATGGCCAAACATTTTCGCTATTCCCAATCAAGAAGGCATCACTATTACCAAGGTGCTAGTGGACGAAGTTGACAGTCGTCATGGTGTGCCACTAGAGTTGCATTCATATCAGGGACGAAACTTCGAATCTGCCATCTTTATGAAAATTTGTGAGATCATGGGTATTCGTAAGACAAGGACAACACCTTTACATCCACAGTCTGATGGCATGGTAGAACAATTTAATAAGACCATAGAGGAACACCTGACAAAAGTGGTCGCAAAGAACCAGCGAGATTGGGACAAACACTTGCCTCTATTTTTGATGGCTCACAGAGCAGCTGTTCACGAGTCAACAGGTGAAAGTCCAGCTAGAATCGTTTTTGGAAGGGAACTCAAGTTACCTTGCGATCTGATGTTTGGAATGCCTGAAGAAGAACGAAAAGAAATTCGAGATTATGCCGACGAAGTAAGGGCACGACTTCTGGGAATACACGATTTAGCTCGGGAGCATAATAGGCTGGCCAGTGACCGAATGAAGACCAGATACGACTTGAAAGCCAATTCACTGTATAATCCAGCAAGAAAGAAAGGAGTGTCGCCAAAATTGTCTTCAGCATGGGAAGGACCCCACAGGATAATCAAGAGGATCAATGATTTGGCTTATCGAGTTAAGCGCAACACAAAGAGTAAGATGAAAGGTGTACATTTGGACAGATTGACGAAATATCATAGGCGCGAAGTTGATCGGGACGATCAACCTTAAGAGGAGGGCAGTGTGGCGCGTTCGCCAGCATGTACAAAATTTAACTTGAAATCTAGAAAATACTGCTTCATTCGGGCAAAAAGATTATCGCGTTTATTCTGGATTCTACACGAATAGATTACGGATATATAAAGGCCGGTATTAGTTAGTAGTTTTAAGTTTAAGATTGACTGTGATACGATTTAGATAGTGAATTTTGCAAGAGTTGTAAAGAGTTAGGTTGTTTGAGTTAATTAGTGAAGTAATTAGTGTCAGAGTGTGTAGTAACGTGGAATAAATTATTGTTGTGTTAATTGGACTTTGATTTTGAATAAACGGAGCCAAGATTTCTGCACGCACCCCAGAGCCGTGACAATATTCAATTTACAATGAAAGAAGAAAAACAAGATAAAATTCTCTTTTACGACACTCATGTTATTAGAAATACTACAAGTAATAAAGTTTTATTAGATTGATATTTAAACCTACAAGTTCTAAAAGATACATCAATTATAATTCAAATCAGCCTGAAAAATTAAAATAAACCTTGTACTAACATCAAAAAATCGAAGTGAAAGAATTTCACACTCATCTTTCAAAGAAAAACATATTAAAATTATACTTATTATCAAGGGATATTTAGGCCAGTTAGTGTAATTCAACAGAAAGTTCAATATTGCTTGAACAAGGAGCTAATAAGCCTACGTCGTTCTCACGCGTCCAAATAAGTAAAGAACTGGGTAGGAAATCTTGCATCCGCAGATCTGCGGAAAAATTGAAAAAAAAAAAAGGACTGCGAGGTCCTTGACTTCGCGTTGGTTGACCTAGTACCTACGCGCGGCCGAAATTCCTAGAAGAGAGGCTGTCAGCTGGTTAGCTTTTAGCCGACTTGGATTCATTCTAAGTTTTGGTACAGCCCCATAAGCCTCACAGAAATAGTCTAGCAGCTGTGTGTTCTACCAGTCCTCACTTATGGCATCAGAACACTCACGCAATATGCAGAGTGGTCACACAAAGAGCGAGCGAAAGAATTTTGCTAGGAATTAGCTCACGAAATAACTTTTCAAACGACGAAGTCAGAAGAAGAAGAACACTCAGATATTATTGAAATAGTAGCGTAACTCGAGTGAAGATGGGCTGGCCATATTGCAAGACAGAAGATGGATTCACAAACTAACAGCCTGGGTTGCCAGAAGACCTTTAAAGAGATGGCGTGATGACGTTCAGAAGATTTCTGGAAGAAAATGGATGAGTAGAGCTATGGCAGAAGTGAAAAAATATGGAAGATCCCTACATTCATGAGTGGATGAGAACAAACTGATAAAAAGAAGAAGAAGAGTAACCAATTTAAACAGTTTTAATTCTTTCCGTCAAGTGAATAATAGTTATTTATGTCGTTATGCCAAGAAGTGTGCTGAGCTCAAAGTTAAGGAGAAGCTCCAGGAGACATACAACGTTTTATCTTTAAGGGACTGCAATGTTTCCTTTCACAATTTATGTACTGCTTTTTTCATTTATTTTTGAAAAACCAAAAAGCTATCACTAATTGATGACGTATGTCCGTATGTCATGTTTGTCCATTTCAAATATCAAATGAATAATACGTCACTTTGAACATGGATGCTCGTGTACACGGCCAGACAGATTAACTTGACTATCTTTATTTATTTTATGCTGTCACTTTATTTATAAAATAATGTAATGCATATGACGCTATTTGCGATCTAGGATATAAACGATCACTTCTGTGTCTGTATGAATTTTGACGACAAAAAAGTTTGAAAAATAGACCACTTAAAGACAAAATAAATTAATTGAAGAAACTAGAAATTTCTCTGGTTGCAAGCATTCAGCATTTTTCATGTAATTATGCTACTATTTAGAATTTTTGGTTGCAGTTTTATCTATCCAGTTTCATAATTGAATTAATTCCTAAGTAACATAGGTAGGTTGGTAGATACCTATCTTTATTTTTCATTGAGCTAGGGATTCTGAAAAAATATTGGCCTAATTAACTGATTCTTGTTTCCGACATTTCCGGAATGTTAGAATCAAATTATGGTTTCCGAATTAAAATTCACATTATAAACTAATTATCGAAAGCTTAAGACCAATGATAATACTTCACGGTACCTTGAAATTTGGAATTTCTACGCGAGCGACTTTACTCGTTTGGTAATTCTATATGTACATAGGTAGGTGCATATATATTTTCTAATCCAAAAGAATAATCATGAACCTAATAATATGGTTATGGATTATTTAAATTATAAGCCGCTATACACAAATTAAAAATTTCGCCGGTTTCCGTTATAATCATATTTAGAAAAAATAATAATTATCCATAAGTTGGTCGGTAAGTAGAGCAGCAAGCTCGTAGGAAGATGCGATTGTTTCACTTTAAAATATACAAAAATTCTTACCTTATTTGAAACAAAATATCCAAAGCTGCTCGTCTAGGTCTAAAACCAAAACTAAGAATTAGTTGCTTTCAAGAAACTATTAATTAATAAAATGCATTTCAATGATAATCAATTCAATTTAACGTTTTTTTTTTTTTTTTTGAAAAATTAATGATTATTCATTGATGTTTTATTTCACGTTATTAGCATAAGTATTAGCATTTTTGTATTTTTACCAACAATCTTTTAATTTGTCCAATAATAACAGATTCCTATGATTATTATCAGTATTATACATTAAAATATTCAAATAAATCATAGAACTGACCTTTAATTGCAAAACTAAATATTTACAATAAAATCAGGTATGGTGCACATTGCCTACAATCTTTAAAATGTGTGTCAACTTGCAACAACACAACGCAGCTTATTACAGGTGCGGCAAAATCGAAATAAGAAAACATTAATCTCAAATTTATTAATTTATAGGTTCCGATTTAAATGGTACCTTTACTTTGGCTATATGGTACCACTATTATACTTTTACTTTATCCAAGAAAGATAAATTATGGTGAAGCTGTTTTAAAAATATATTGGTATAGATGCGTATTTCATCACGTTAATAAATAAACAAATTAATTAAAATGGCCTAGACAAGCAAATAATATTAAATACACGTTCAGATATAAAACGTCTAAAAATAAAGTTCACTGCTTACCGCAAGCAGGAATATGAGGTGTGATAAACAATATAGTGCTATAATGGTAGTTGTGAGTGAACAAAAAATAACCATTAGTACCACAGTAACAAGTCTGTCTGAGTGGTAGCTATTGTTTGATTCGTAAATTGCCACTATGAAGGCCTAATGGAGTTTATATTCTTCTTGGAATGTCTGCGCATTTTATTGCAAACAGTAAAAGGTGCTTTATTTAAATATCTTTTCATTCAATATCAAGATAAATATGTCGTTTTTGTGCAATCCTGTACCGCTTGTTTCGCAATTTTCGCGATTTTAAAGTGCACTGTTTGGGGGCCACCAACTGAAAACATTATCATTGTAATATAAGGATATTTAAATATTTCTATTGGCACAATTGGAATAGAATGGTCTGGTTGTTTTGAGATAATATGATCAGTGGTTAATGAGAATCAAAAATTACAAACATTTTAGTAAATTAGATTTTTTTGGATAAAACGGCAACTCAAATATTTCATACTATATGGTTTTCCTACCTACAACGCCGAATTATTGTGACAATGACCCAAAAAAAGAACCGTTCACTTTTCGCTAAAAGCTATTATCCCTGTACGATGTAAGAACGGAACAACACCTGTTCATATACCAAATATTCCAATTACACTTAAAGCAATTTACATCTTTAACAATCTTTTCGGATTTAACAAGCTTGACCTATTGCGAAAATCTCAATAGGTAATAAATAACTTATTTTGAATTTTATTATTTCTTTGGTTTTAGGATCCAGGATGTACTTATTTGGATTTAGAAGAGGAGTTATTTCTATAGTAGTAGGTATTTGAAGAACCTTGACCGTCTTCTACTTAGGTGGGCTCAATATCAATTTGACACCAGATTCAGAGAAGATATTGAAATATAATCTACATAAAAACCTTACCCTGTAATTTTTATAGGATTCGAATTTGCATAATTTTTGGATTACTTATAAGGTTATTGCAGTTGTTAAAAGACAGACTAGTGACGAATTTTGGTCGTCTGTCTCCTCCTCAGATTCTTCAACTGGGGAATCCCCAACAATAAAATGCTGTTCCTTGAAAAAAAAAAAAGACGAGAGAATGTTGCTCTTGCAGCTTTTGTTTTGTTTTATTGTTAAGAATGTGCATCCACTTATAAACATTCACTAAATAGTTTATTCATTTGATAGGAATTACAATGATTTATTATGGAGACAAAGGGTTATAATTTATGGTTTTGTCTAATGGTAGTACTAGGTAAGAATAAAGAATAGTTTTAATGTGTTCTTGTGTATTTCGCTGTTCCGTATTTGCATAGAAAATTGCCATTAGTAATATACAGGGTGACGGTCGTACCAAGGAGACAACCAGTTAAGTTCTAAGTTCAATTTTTACCTAACGATATGTTCTCCTGGAATGGCGGTTGCAAATAAATATGATTCAAAAAAAATATTTTCAATAGACTACTATAGTATAAGTAATGTTTTTGCAAAGTAGAAAAAACATAACTGGTGGGCCGTTTTACAGTTCGCTATTTTTCTTGTTGGTTGTAATATTGAAAATTGCGTATAGTATATCATGTGATATTTACTTTTTACTGATGTGTGGCTACATCTATTATAGCAAAATATGTTCTATTTCATTCTAGTGTATATCTTGCTTGTCAGAAAAGGTTTGGTAGCCATGACGAATAAAAAACAGTCGTTATACAGAACTCGTGCGTATGGTTATTTCAATTTTTCCTGTCTCGATTCACGTTTTCCAACATTTCTCCCTGCAAGTTTTCTGCCTGAAGTTTATTGCTGCTATAACATTTTTACGATTTCACAATTTGCAATTTTTATCCCCAATTCTTAACGCCATTTTCAGCATTACCAACCAGAGAAATATTAATGAACGTCAGCTGTTTATAATAAGGTTAAGTTTATGTTTAGTGTGTTTGGCTTCCTATAGGTACCTATTCAAAATAAATAATAATAAAGCGATTCAAATTATGGACCTAAACATAAGGAAAAGAAAAAATGAAAGCTGTTGCTGCTATTATTTTGGTGAGCGCTAGCACTAATCGAACTTATTTCATGATCGGGGTTCTAAAGGTTAAATTCCCCAGTTCCTTTTTTTTTCAGTTTTCAGAAGGAGGAACAACGGGTAAATGATGCGGAAATAAAGCAGAATAATAACTAATCATTATCTGGGAAAGTAACATTAAGCATTAAGCTTTTTGTCACGTTCTCCAGCGTCTGTTAAATTGGGTTTTTTAAATAAACTAGTACATAATGAAGTTTGGTTATAATGAGATAATAATGAAAAATAGATGAAGGAAAATTATACCATACAGAATAGACAGCTTTAACTAATAAGCCAGTTACCTATTTTATACATAAGAAGGTAACCCTATTGGCAACTTGTCGAGGTATTTTGGTTTAGGAGAGTATTGTAATATGGCTGATAATATGGTAGTATTTACATGGTTGTCAGATCTTCCGTTTTTCGGGAAATATCAGAATCTTTGTTTTTCCCAATAGATCACCCTGTATATTATGACATTTCTAAGTTCTGCGGAAAATTCTAGACATATTTCATGTACAATGTGATATACCTATATCTTCAACTGTTTCGGAAATATTGACAGTTAAAAATTGACCTTTTTGCAACTTTGACAGGCTGTGAAACCTAAACGGCTAATTTTGCAGCGAAACCGATTTTACATTCTCGTCTGTAGCTTTTCATAAGCTATTATTTCACACCAACCATGATTCAACCGAAGATTAAATTTAACCGGACTTTTTAATCATGGATTAAACTCAAAGTTGGTGTCAAATGATAGTTATGAAAAACTAAGAGAAGAATTCTATGATCGGTTTTGCTCTAAAATCAACGGTTTAGGTTTTACAGTCTGTCAAAAATGCAAAAAAGTCAATTTTCAATTGTCAATATTTCCGAAACAGTTAGTTGAAGTTGAAGATAGGTACCTAGATGACATTGTACATGATATATGTCTAGAATTTTCCGCAAAACTTAGAAATGTCATAATATACGGAGTGATCCATTTGAAAAAACAAAGTTTCTGATTTTTTTATAAACCTTAAAGTATAGAATTAAATTTATTTGAATTACTTAGTGTCTATCCAGACAGTACACAGACATCTTGAAGAAGTCCCTCAGATTTCCATAAACGACATTCAAGACGTCTTTTAGACGTCTGCTCACGTCTTCAAGGCGTCTTGAAGACATCTTAAATACGTCGTATGTTACAAAACCCAACGTCTTTCAGACGTCTGCCTGAAGACGTCTTCGGGACTAATATTTTATGATTATTACTCATTTTATAACTTTCAATTTTTGTCTATTCTAAACGCTAGGGTCTTAAATTCTTGATTTCTTTAAACGAAAAAATACGAAAAATTCATTTCGGAAGAAAACCATTTAAAGAGACAGGACTGAAAATTAAAAAACAAATCAAGAGCCTGGAATTCTAAAATATAGGAATAATGAGAATTCAAGAACTTGGGAAAAAATTTCAACAGCCAAAAGAAAATTAAGAATTTAGAATAAAGAAGTAAGGGAAAATCAAGAGCCTGGAATAGAAAAAATTATAAAAATTCAAGAATTTGAATTGAAAGAGGAACATTTTCTTGTTAATATTTTCCTATTATTTATTACTCATTTTATAACTTCCGGTTTTTATCCATTCCAGGTGTTAGGCTCTCTGAAATAAAAAGTCTCTAAATTGTTCCAAAATTCTCCATTCTAATAATGGTTCTGAAGTTTTCAAAATGTTTTGAAGCGCTTAGAATGCTTTTGGAAATTATAAATTGAATTTTAAGTGTTTTGAACTTTCGAAAAGTGTTCTGTAGCATTCTAAATGGTTTCCAGTAACTTCTAAAATTGAATGAAAAACGAATTTTGTGGGAAATTTCCGTGGAAATCTTAAAGACGTTCTTACGATGTCTACCAAACGACATTCAAGAACTCTTGCTTACATCTTTTAAGGCGTCTTAAAGACATCTTGAAGACGTCGTATGTTACAAAACCCAACGCCTTTCAAACGTCTGCCTATAAAGACGCCTTTAGAACTAAGGCATTCTAAAGACGTCTTCAACGAAATTCCTAAAACAAGTCTTTGAATCTCTTTTGAATACATGAACCATTATTCACTTTTAGGCCTGGTTGTACGAAATAGTGTTGTTCAGTTCAGATGTCTTTAAAATGTGAATTTAGGACATCTTATCATGGAAGTTTTTGGACGTTTTTTTTTTTTTAGTTTCCAGACGTTCAGATGTAATGCAAAATGCAGACCTGAAAAAGACGTCCTTAGAAATTTGTGTGCTGTCTAAGTCTGGGTAGTT